CCCCCCCCCCTCCTTTCCACCTCCGCGCTGGGACTGTGATTCAGTTCCCCTCCCCCAGCCCACCCCCTCTGCTCAGAGGCTGACAGCCAGAGCTGCTGCCTGCCGGAGCCTCGGAGCTGTTTTCCAAGCCGTGGAAGAGAGATCCAGGGATTTTTTAGCAGCTCCCCAGTACCTGCTGCGTCCCGGGCCGGACGCGCACGGACATGGAGAGTGTCAGCCTCCAGCGACCCGCCTGGAAATGGCAAGTACTGAGTTTGTTTTCGCTCTGGGGCTGGGTCTCCGGGCAGATCCGCTACTCGGTAGTTGAGGAATCAGAGGTGGGAACCGTGGTGGGGAATGTGGCCCGGGACCTGGGCTTGAAGGTGGAGGAGTTGCCGGGTCGTAGGCTGCGCCTGGGCTCAGAGGAGAGCCTGAGCCACTTCGCTGTGCGCCTGGACAGCGGTGAGCTGGTGGTGAGCCAGCAGCTGGACCGGGAGCGTCTGTGTGGAGCAGCTGCCAGCTGCGTGCTGTCGGTGCAGGTAGTGACAGAGAACCCCCTGCAGCTCTTCCGCCTGGAAGTGGAGATCCTGGACTTGAATGACAACTCCCCGAGCTTCCCCACTGCTCACCGCTCCCTGCGGGTTGCCGAGTCTGCCACGGTGGCCACGCGCTTCCCCCTGGAGAGCGCGCAGGACCCTGACGTGGGCACCAATGCTGTGGGCTTCTACCGGCTGAGCCCCAACTCCCACTTCTCCCTGGACGTCAAGCAGCAGCAGGATGGCAAACTCTTCCCGGAGCTGGTGCTGGAGCGTGCCCTGGACAGGGAAGAGCAGCCAGAACTGCAGCTGGTGCTGACGGCCATGGACGGGGGAAGCCCACCCCGCTCGGGCACAGCGCAGATAACGGTCTTGGTGCTGGATGTCAATGACAATGCACCCACCTTCGACCGCTCCACATACAAGGTGCAAGTCCTGGAAAACACACCTGTGGGGGCGCTGCTCCTCCAGCTCAACGCATCTGACCCCGATGAGGGCCCCAATGGGGAGACACAGTACTCCTTCGGGGTTCACACCTCCGACTCAGTCCGAAGGCTCTTTACCCTGGATCCCCACAGTGGTGAGGTCCGGGTGAAGGGGGCCCTGGACTTTGAGGAATCAGCTTCCTATGAGATCTACGTGCGAGTCCATGATGGAGGGGTCCCAGAGATGGAGGGCCACTGTGTGCTACAGGTGGAAGTGGTGGATGTCAATGACAACCCCCCGGAGGTGCTGCTCACCTCTCTACTGAACCCAGTGCCAGAAGACACTCCACCAGCGACTGTCATCGGGCTCTTCAATGTACGGGACCGAGATGCAGGGGCCAATGGGGATGTGAGCTTGGAGATCTCCCCCAATGTGCCTTTCACCATCAAGTCCCTTCAGAACCACTTCTCCCTGGTTACCCGGGAGAGCCTGGACCGAGAATCCACCTCACAGTATGTAGTGGAGCTGGTTGCCCAGGATGGTGGGTCTCCTGCCCTCACCACAACACTCACACTGCTCCTCAACATATCTGATGTGAATGACAACCCTCCACACTTCTTGCAGCCCTCCTATGATGCCTTCCTCCCAGAGAACAACCCACCTGGCTCACTGCTGTGCACTGTCTCTGCCTCAGACCCTGATGATGGGGATAACTCCCGTCTCGTTTACTCCATAGAGAGCAGCCAAGTTCAGGGTGTCCCTACCTCTTCCTTTGTCCACATCAACCCTGACAATGGCAACCTCTACGCTCAGCGCACCTTTGACTTTGAGCTGCTGCAAGTTCTGCCAGTCTCTGTGGCTGTGCGAGACTCAGGGTCCCCCCCACTCCATGCCAATGTTACTGTCTACATCTTCGTGCTGGACCAGAATGACCACCCTCCCACCATCCTGCACCCTGCCAGCGACAGCGATGACCCAGCACCTCAGAGGGTCCCACTGTCAGTCCCACCAGGCTACCTGGTCACCAAGGTGACAGCAGTGGATGCGGATGCTGGGCACAATGCCTGGCTCTCGTACCGGCTGCTGCCACAGTCCACTGACCCCTCCTTGTTCCACGTGTCACTGTACACTGGGGAGGTGCGGACGGCACGTGCCCTCCGGGACACTGATGTGGCAGCACAGCAGCTTGTCATCCAGGTGACAGACGATGGTGACCCACCACTCTCCACTACTGTCACCATTGCTGTGGCCCTGGAGGAGACAGCCCTGGAAGAAAGCTACAAGCCTCGGGACTTCCTGGCTGGTGCCAAGGAGAAGCCAGACCTGACCCTCTACCTGATCATCGCGCTGGCAGCTGTTAGCACTGTGGCACTGGCCACCGTCACCGTCCTGGCTGCCCGGTGCCTCCGTCGAAGAGGCCGTGCCGCTGCATCCCCCTACTGCTGCTGCTGGCTCAGCGAGTCGCCCTCCCGGGATTTCTTCAAGCACTCCAGCCCCAAGCTCCAGCTCAGCTCCGACGGCACCCTGAAGTACATGGAGGTCACCTTGCGCCCCACCGACTCCCAGTCCCAGTGCTACAGCACCTGCTTCTCCCCCGACTCTGAACGCACCGACTTCACCTTCCTGCGGCCCTGCCCACCCCCTGCCACCCTCACGCGGGC